TAATTTTTTACTTGTAATTTTGAATAACTTGATCCCAAATAAACAAGGGCAGGACAGCCGAATTAGAAAAAAAAAAATAATAATAAAATTTAAAAGAAAATATAATAAGAAATAATTTATTCATCACTCAGGTAAGTTATTTACCCCCTTAAATACAAAAGAGAACCTCAGTCATGTTAATATATTAGAGTTAAAATTAAAGTTAGAGTTAGGGTTAGCTTAAGGTAAAATTGCAAAAGGAACATTTTTGCTTATATTATATAACAGGAGTTATTTTAGTAAAATCTTGAGATATTGAAATTTTTTTCAAATTTGTTATAGAGGAATAAGCAATATTAAATCTAACCCTGTGTGAGAAATAAATTTACTCATATAATAAATATATAATAAAAATTGTTAATAAAATTCAACTAATAAAAATTGCCTAATAAAATATATAATCTAAATAAATTTAATTAATAAAATTTGCTAATATAATAATATATATATACAGTATATTCATAATTAATTTATGTAATTAGTGTTAGTACATGACAAAGTCAAATAAAAAGTTAATGATAAATATTATATATTAGTGAAACTTTTTTAAAGATTTCTCAAGAACCACCAGGCTGATTTTAATGTTCTTACCACTATTAGATGCATCTTGATAAGCTCTACAACTTTTATTAAAAGCCCAAAAGTGATTTACTTAGTAAGAAAAAAGTTTTAGATAGGAATGCTCTATATTTAAGCCTAATATGATGGGTTACTGTATAAAGACCTGATTAAAATATATATTAGGAAGAGGAAGAAGATAAGCTTCTGATAAAAAAAATCAGATGATAAATGACACTGCTTTACTCAGTGATCTAGTATTATAATTAGTAGATAAGCTTTATAAAATCTTGTACTAATTTAGCTTTAATCATAAACAAATAGTAATTAAATACAATAATTAAGTTAAATAGTTTAAATCAATAAACTAATATACTGTATATAATTTCAGATTATAAGGTTCTTTTTATTAATATAAATTAATACATTAGAATATTACAACAATCATTAATAAATATTCATATTCTCATAACTGAAACTACAACTTAATTTATATAAGGTTTTAATCTCTCTTTTGAAGGTTCAATCTCTCACTTGGGTTTCAATCTTTTGCTAAGGATTTTAATCTTTTGTTTGAGGTTTCAATCTCTTGCTGTAAGTTAAATCATTTGACTATATTACAAACTTTACCAATATAAAAAATATATAAAATAAATAATAATTATAAAATAATAATATATAACACTAGCTAAAAAAAGCATAATACAGAAAGACTTCTCTAAATATACTCTCTTTAAATGCATCATCCCTCTAAATGTACTCTCAATTTCCAGCCAAGTATATACAGTCGTCCCTCGTTAATATCAACCCCGTTAATATCAACCTAGGCTATACAATGAGTTTTTATATATTAAAATTATATTGAAATTCCCTCATATATATCAACTTTAATATGTTCCCTCATTAATATCACTATCAACATGAATATAAGAGCGATCCAAATAGGTTGATATTAATGAGGGACGACTGTACTTAACCTTCTATAAATACATGATTTTATATTATTCTTTAAATATATGTTTTTAGAAGTTTAGTCCCTATTGTATACATTTAGAGAGGTCTCTTTGTACTGATTAATTTATTTAAAAATAAAATCGATATATTCAATAAATAGAAATATATAATGAACAATAAGTATACTACTAATTATTAAACTACGTGAAATTATACTATAGAATAAAGATAACTGGAAAGTTTTTTGTTTAAAACTACTTTATTACGTTAGATTTAAATAAATTTTATTGCTAACGTTTTAAGTTGAATAGATACAAGTTTTCTAGTGATAGAAAACCAGGTTTAAATGTGGATGTTCTTGTAGTACGTTCGGGTTAAATTAAACTTTTGCTTTACATCTTTAATTCGTTCGGGTTTATTAATAATAAATATCACTTTATCCCACCTTGCGTATATTTACTTACTTTCTAAAGTATGTTATAAAATCTTTCACTGTTATTTATTAGTGTGTTTCTTGTAAGGTTTTTTTCGTTTTCTAGTGTTATTAACATGATAAATCTTCATGTATTTTGATTGGTTGATTATCACGAGAATCACGGGTAGATCTACAAAAATTAACCAATCATAGGAATGTCTTCTCATGATGATAGATGAGCATGCGGTCCTAATTAAGGGAGGCAATAGAGAGTAGAGGCCTGCACGGGCCGGGCCGAAATTTGAAATTTTTTAAAAACCTCTCAAAATTGCGGGCCTGATGTGTCAAGAACCTAGTAAATTTCGGGCCGAAAAACCATAGTAAATTTTATTTTGTGGGCCGTGCGGGCCGGCAAAAGTACAAATTCTTAGGCCCGTGCAGGTCCCTAATAGAGAGTATCATTATGTCCTGCAAATCCGGTCCTCCGATCAATTCGATATTACAGATGCTTTTTATTTGCATATAGCGATAGTAAATTTCGGTTTTTCTTTGGTTTGTTACACAAAGATCATGATTTTATTGGTTCCGACCTACCCGGATGGGTCCGGATTTGCAGGACATAAGTGTACCCGGTCGAGCGTACGTAAGTTCATTGAATTTCTAAACCGAGGGCAGACACACCCGGTTATTACGTACAAAAGTTTAATCGTAGCATATATCTAAAATACTATCGCTATCGCTGTCACTATAATTTTGGCAATCCGTTAACATTAATTTTTTGGTTTTTTTTTTTAAAAAAAAAAAAAAATGACAACTCCTCTCAACCTACATTTGTGTCAAGAAGATCCACCATATTTTCGAAAGGAGTTGGCAGAATGTGAATCTTCAGTATTCGGACTAGAAAATACCATAAAAAACCTTGTAAAATTAGCAAGAGCAAGTGCAGAACTTGCACAAGGTATTTAATGATTTTTGATACTATATTATCGTACTGCTTGAAGAAATTATCATTTTGATGGCGATTGAACAATTTATTTAAATTTTTACCAGAATATACAGCGAAACAATTACAATTCGCTGAAGAGCTTGGTACTTTCGCAAAACAGCAACCTGATTCAATAATTAGTAGATATCTCTTATACTTTACTATGTGCTTTACTATGCAAACGACATTGTTAAATTGAAGGATAACAATTTGAAAATTATATGCACAGAATCAGTTTTGATCAAATATGCTTCATCACTTCAAGAGGTTGAAAGAAGTCGTCGAATTCTTGTAAGAGTTAATATTTTTAAGTTCCAACGTAATAAATGTTATATTTTTGATATAGCAGTATCTAATTACTATTATTATTGTTATTATTACTACAGAATTCACATATGCACGATATGTTCATTGAACCATTAGAAGCTTTTGCAAAGAACGAGATATTACCTTTGAAGGTGCAAATAATTTACATTATACTTAATCGTCTATCAAGCTGTGTATATATATCTATTTGTTTATTTATTATTTATTATTTATTTATTTATTTATTTTGTGATCTTATAGGATGTAAAAAAGGGATTTGAAAAAGCTGGTAGTGAAGCAGATTTTGCACTTTCTAGATATATGAGCAAAAGACCGAAAGATTCGATGATTGCTGACGTAATAGATCTTTTTTTTTTTAGTTTTGTATTTGAAGTGATTAATAATAATAATAATATTTTAGGCGTCTTCCGAAGTATCAGATACACGAAGGGAATTTCATTATCGCTATTTGGATTATGTTATAAAAATTAATCAATTGGAAGCGAAGAAGAAATTCGAGTTTATGGAATATGTAAAAACTACTTAAATTATTGTATAAGATTCATAATATAATTATAATTATAATACTAATATTACGCTTTTATGATAGATTTTGGCTTTGATGTTCACAGAGTCTTCATTTTATCATCAGAGCTATGAAACCTTAAAGGATCTTGAACCACACATGAAAGATGTAACAAGTAAATAATTTATATATAATTTTCATAATGCTAACTTTGTGATATAATTATTAATGTTGAGATTTAACAGAGTTATTACATGAGGTAAATTATATAATATTGATTCCATTGTAATACCTAATAATAAAGATGTTATCCAACGCGAGTTTTGTTTTAACTAGGCAAGGACTGAATATAATAATGATATTAAAGAATCTCAACAATTAAAGAGATCTTTATTAGAGGTATTTACGTGATGCATAATTTTCGAATTGTACAAATTAAACTGAATATATGAAAATTTCGATATATGCCTTCATCTATTAGAACGCTCAAGAAACGTACAATCCATTACACTCTTTCAAGGCAGGTACTAAGTATCGTGCACATCAGGGTTCAGATGCGACAATTGTAAAAAAATCCGGCCATTTGTTTATGAAAGGAAATCAAAGAGTAATGCAGTCATGGACGCGTAAATACTTTACTATTTCAGAAGAACAGTTAAATTATTGTAGTAAAGCAGGCAAAGTATGTATATTTCAATTCATTAATTATTTAATTGAGATATTATTCTAACTGAAGTTGTTAAAGGTATCAAAAGAAGAGGATGAATCAGCATCTATTAATTTAAGGGTCTGTCATATAAAACCAGTTACTAATTCTGATAGAAGATTTTGTTTTGAAGTAATATCTCCAATGAGGTAAATAATTTTTATTTGTATTTTCTGTGTACAAATAAATTATACTAAAATAAAATTACGTCTCAAAAGGACTTATGTATTGCAAGCCGAAAATCAACAAGACATGGAAGATTGGATATATTGTTTACAGACTGCAGCTGAAGAAGCTTTGTACACGAATCAGATGCCGAAATTTGATTCTTCGGGCATGGGAAAGCTGGTATATAAAAAATTTGATGCAGATAATTAAATTCTATTATAGTATTTAAACTTATAACGTACTTATATGTTTTGTTAGATATCTCAAGATACACAGAGGAATGATATTAATTCAAATAATCAAGTTAATTATGACTCTTCTCAGAGCATCCAGCAATCTATTTTACGAATTAAGCAATTGCCCGGTAATGAATGTTGTGTAGACTGCAAATCTAAAGGTAAGTTCGACTTTAGATATGATCAATGTGTTTTTTACAGCTCAAGTGATTTATTAAAATATATCATTAGATCCACAATGGGCAAGCACAAATTTTGGAACATTGCTATGTATAGAATGTTCGGGTATTCATCGCAGTCTTGGTGTGCATGTTAGTAAGGTTAGATCATTGATGCTTGATAAATGGGAACCTGAGTCACTTGAGGTTATGTCGAAGCTTGGAAACTTTAAGGTAAACCAGATATTTGAAGCAAAATTAGTTGGAGATAACGAGAGAAAATTGATGAATTCATCATGGGAACGGTTTGTTGGAGTTTCGATTTGGGTTGGTTATATTTGGTGAAATATTTTGTTTTCTGTTTTTATTTATTTTGTTGAACTAATTTATCAAATCTTCTTAGTGCTGACAGAGAAAAATTTATAATCGATAAGTATGTTAATAAAGAATTTGTTGTGCAAAAAGATGAAAAAATCGATCTTTCAAACTCGGTTGATTTGGTGAGAATTTGACTAATTTGCTTTAAATAAATTTGTTAATTATTAATATATATGATATATATGTAAATTCTAATAAATTATTCTTTTAGGTTTTTTGGAAAGCAATGAGTGATTCTAATCTGCACGAAGCTCTTCGATGTTTGTCGCTAGGAGCCAATGTTGATTGGAAAAATGACAAAGAAAATTATACTACGGCATTGCATCAGGCTATACTACGAAGTGATGACGTTGCAGTGGAATTCCTGCTTTCATGGTCTT